GGAAAAACACCAGTGTGAAGGGATGTGTTAATGATGTGAGTGAGTGCAGGTACAACTGCAGGAGAAATGGGTTGAAGGAGATGAGATGGAATAGGATCAAGCGGACAAGTAGTAGGATGATTAGAAAGGATGAGTTTGGAGACTTCTGCCTCAGAGAGTGAAGAGAAGGATGTGAACGAGAGTATGTTTGCTGGTAAGATGTGTTTTGACAGTTTGTGGTGTGGCAAATTGTGCACTGATGGTTTTAATTTTATTAATGAAGAACGTGGCAAAGTCGTCAGCTGTTAGAGATGCTTTTGATTATTCATATTTAAACCATTAAAATGTAATCCAGAAAATTAATAGTAAACAGAATTTGGTAAAAAATAAAACATATTTCATAGGGCCTTAAAAATGTAATTTTTGCTCAACTTTTAAGAAATTGCTGTTTAATATTGTAAGCTTCATGATTTCAATTAATTAGACATGCTTTTTGATTAATACAATTTAATTTAACCATTAAAACAGAGTCTAGAAAAATAAAAATGGAAAAACAGAATCCAGAAAAATTAAAGCAGAAAAAAATACATTTGGAAAAAAATAAAACTGAATTTGGGAAACAATAATGGATTTCATAGGGCCCTAGTCTATAAAGATTGTCGGGGACATTAAACGGTCCTTACACTGAACAGGTAAACTCATCTACTCACTAGTTGCTTTCACTGACTTATTTGTGTTTATAATGGCGATCCTACAAATGATTCCAACTCAAACTTTCAGGGAAAATGTTTTTAATTAAAGACTGAAAAAGCTGATGGATGTTTAATGGTGGTTATGTTGAAATCATGCGACCATGGTGTGGTTTGTACATTTAGCTTTTTTACTTGTACTTAGGCTTCAAAATTCATAAGAGTTGTGTTAATTTGTAAAGATTATCATGATGAAAAACACTTGTAAGAATCCAACTTTTGTTGGTCACAGAGCTTATTTTCTGTAATAATCCAATGGAAAAATCCTATTGGGTTTTTGTAGAGGGAACCAGCCTGGCTGGCCTACAAAATCACCGTCATCACTGCATCACTGTATTGTTACCTGTGAACAACAGCTATGAAGGACAAATGCAATTCATCCTTCAGGCTCTTCCTATCAAACATTGCAACTAACATTAAGACTGGAGTACAGTGCATATGCAATTAAATATTGTTTTGCATTTAAATTATATCATTTTATCACGTTTAATATAAATCTTTTTCAGTATCTTAGTATTATGTTGAATTTTGTGATAATAACTAAGCTGAACTCACTTTATCAGAGAACCACAGCAGATTGGACTCTGAATATTGGGTGAACATGCCATAGATCGGATCAATCAGCTCTTTAAGCAGGAGCAGAAAGAACTCCTTAGTGACTCCTCCAGCATCCACAGCTTCCTCTCCATCAAAGATGACCTGCAATGATCAGTAAATCTCTGTTAGTCAACTTATATCTAAGTGGGCGGTCTTGGCCAAAATATGCTACAATATGGACCAGACAACAGTCTGGTGTTGGGATGATAAAGGCAAACCTTAAGCGGCTTCTTCAAGTCTACGTCATTGTAGACTGTGAGCTCCCGGAGAGCATCGCTGACTAAGTGGTTCCTTCTTACGTGAAGCACCAGGAAAGGGTTTCTTGCCAGCAAAGGTTCCATAGTCAACAGCATGAAGACGTTGTGCAGGTTAGCGCCGCTTACTGCCATCTGAACAGGAATCAAGCAGGCAAAACTAGTCAAAGAGGCTGAATAATAAGAGTCAAGAATCATAAATCATAGCAATTTCACAGTGACAGCAGGCAGAGCATTTTCTCTGTATCCACTCTGAAACCAACAGCAAATCATGATTTTGCCAGGCTGTACCATGGACTAATGCAATATGTCCTCCTTTACTTCCTATTAAGATATTTTCTGAAAGAAATTAATATTTTTATTCAGTAAGGATGCATTCAATTTATCAAACTGAATAGTACAGACTCTCACAAAAATTATATTTCAAATAAAGGCCGTTTTTTGAACTTTCTATTAATCAGAGAATCCTAACAGAAATGTATAGCAATTTCCTCAAAAACATTAAGCAGCATAACTGTTTTCAAGATTGATAATAAGCAATGTTTCAGAGCAGCAAATCTGCATATCAGAACGATTTCTGAAGGATCATGGGACACTGAAGGCTGGAGTAATGATACTGAAAATTCAGCTTTACATCACAGGAATCAATTAAAATATAATATATATAAATATAAAATATATTTTAAAACATATTCAAACAGAGAACAGTTACTTTAAAATGTAATAATTTTTCAAAAATTGTTTTTTACCTGCATTTGCAGCTCAGCATCTGTTTGCAGCACGGTTGTCTTGGCTTGCGCGTTCAATATGAACGGATAGGCACATAACGTGACAGAACCCTGGGAAATAAGATTCAGATTTTCAAGCTGAGACCATCACAACTGTCAAAAAAATACATTTACAAAGAGCTATTTAACCAACATACCTGCACTGGAGGGTATCGCATTTTCTACGACAAGACAAAACAAGGAATTATGTTATTTTTCAGCTTGCTATGATCAAAATTTGAGGCTTTTTTGTGTAACTATGACATTTTGTATGCACAATGGGGTCTAGCTCATGTTCACATTAACATATAGCTTTTGCAGTCCATCTACAAAAGGAAAAGTGACATGAAAATCTACGTATGTGCAGTGATATACGCACAATATCAGCTTTGCGCAGAAACCATTTGAGGTAGTCTTCCTGTATGTCCACCAGGGTGGCGATGTCAGGGATGTAGAAGTGGTTGTATTCCACACGATGGGCTTTCAGATTGACCTGCACCAAAATATTTGGATCAACACTTGGTTTATCATTTAACAACGCAAACTAAATTACACAAGCTTGTCTGCATAAACAGATGAAAAACAGCAATTCAGCTCTGATGCTGGGGAATATTCAGCTTATTGATTAGTTCATCATTTACTTATTAAACTGTTTTGGGGATTTTCGCCGTACCTTGTGTAGCTTCTCCAGCAGTCTAAGGGCGGCACTGGTGTAGCTCTCCAGAAACACAGGCATCAGGAGTGCCTTCCCGCCAGTCAACAGAAACACAACAATGCTTTTGTACATCTCCACTAGTCTGGAGAAAACCTCGCAATCCATTAGAGACCACCAGTTATCTGAGAAACGAGAATAAGATTCATTTCAAAAGCCCTTTTGATCTTGAACTCTGATCAACTTTGTAACTAAGCAACTAATGGTGTTGCTAGGCAGTGGAATATGTGCATACCGAGGACTTTGCTGGGGTTGGCGTCCAGTCTGAGGATGGCCATGGCTAGAGGGATGGTGAGAGAGATGTAGTTTTTGGAGTCCTGGAGAGCGGGACATTCAGACAGGATCAGGTAGATCCGCATGGCTTCCACGTCAGGAGGAGAGCAGGTCAGCTGGGGGATCAGGAGACTCTCAAAGCTCTTCGTGGCCTAGAAGAACACATTCATGAGCTGTTTATTATTAAAAATACATTTACACAGACTGAGATCAGTAAGGTCAGCAAGATTTTTTTTCCTGAGGACAGTATGGAGTATGGAGTAGGAGTATAACGTCACTAGGAGGAAGATAATTGACATAAAAAAAAATCTAAAAATTTTCTTCTAAAATGAGCATTTTTCTCAGGCTCCTATGTTTACGTTCAGTAATTTCACTTTAATGGCAATGAAGTAAAATTACTGAACCTACACATAGGAGCCTGATAAAAATGCTCATTTTAGAAGAGAGATGTAGTTTTTGGAGTCCTGGAGAGCGGGACATTCAGACAGGATCAGGTAGATCCGCATGGCTTCCACGTCAGGAGGAGAGCAGGTCAGCTGGGGGATCAGGAGACTCTCAAAGCTCTTCGTGGCCTAGAAGAACACATTCATGAGCTGTTTATTATTAAAAATACACTTAAACAGACTAATATCAGTAAGGTCAGCAATATTTTTTTTGCCCTGAGGACAGTATGGAGTATGCCATCACTAGGAGGAAGATAATTTGAAATCAGCATCAAAATCATAACAAACACATTTTATAGAGTGTGCTTTAAAATATATGGTAGCACAAATTATCTCTTCTATTTAAAAAAAAAGAAATATATATATATACACATATATATATATATATATATATATATGTGTGTGTGTGTGTGTGTGTGTGTGAAGACCTCAGATGCAAAAGCCTCTAAGTACCGTGTGTGTGTGTGTGTGTGTGTGTGTGAAGAGCTCAGATGCAAAAGCCTCTAAGTACCATTTTAAATTTTCTTCTAAAATGAGCATTTTTATCAGGCTCCTATGTGTAGGTTCAGTAATTTTACTTCATTGCCATTAAAGTGAAATTACTGAACGTAAACATAGGAGCCTGATAAAAATGCTCATTTTAGAAGAAAATTTAAAATGGTACTTAGAGGCTTTTGCATCTGAACTCTTCACACACACACACACACACACACATACAGTATATACATAAATATATATATATATAATTTGTTTTCTGCTGAAATAATGCATGCATGGCTACGGAAGAACAACTAATCACTATTAACTGATAAAAAACAAGTTTTCTCATCAAATCAAATCAAGAATAAAATAACTAATCAATAAATTCAGATTTCTTTAAAGAAACAGATCATTTTATTCTGCAAGAATGCATTAAATTGATCAAAAGTGACAGTAAAGAGGTGTTACAAAAAATTATATTTTAAATAAATATTAAGCCGTTTTCTACATTCTTAATAATCAGAATTTTTTGACCATCAAATCAGTATTTTAGAATGATTTCTGAAGGATCATGGGACACTGAAGACTGGAGTAATGATGCTGAAAATTCAGCTTTGCATCACAGAAATAAATTAAATTTTAAAAACATTCAATTAAAGAAAAAAGTTACTTTAAATTGTAATAATATTTCACAATATTACTGTTTTACAGAATTTTTGCTCAAAGATAATGCAACCTTAGTGAGCATTAGAGAAACACTGAAAGAAATCCTACAGACTGCAAACTTTTGAACGGTAGTGAGGAGCTATGATTCCTATAATTAGAGTTATACCAACAAGTATACCAACTTTCACCCAGTAACACACACAAACAAGGCTTTGAATGTTTTAGAAACCTGATAAAGTCTGCAGCAGAGTTACTGCCTTCCAAGTATGCAGTGCTTTAAAGACCTAAATAAATGTTGAGATGAAGCCAACATTTCAAACGCACACACCTGATCCAAAAGTCTTGCGAAGGCTGGTTTCATCAGCGTCTCAAAAAGCAGCCTAACAGCATTGAAATCGATGCCTGGGACTTTGGGGTTGGTTTTGAAATGCCTGTCATCACTGTGAAAACAGCAGGTGGAAATTAGTATCCAAATGCTTGGAAATAAGCCGTAAAGCTACACAGTATGAAATCTGATATTGTACTAATCTAATTTACTAAATGAAGATTTTAGAAATGGTTTGTGTTTGCTGAATTAGTTACTATATTAGTTAAACTGTTTGGAAACATAACAGTGAGATTTAGTATCTCCAAGCAAGTGCATGGGAACTAGTTAAGGAACAGATGAACAAATAGATGGATCTGAGGTGAGGAGATTTAAGGTCTTTCCTCTCCATTGCTCTTTATCGGTGTCTGTTGCTCTGAAGGGATGAAAGCAGGATCACACGCTGGGTGTAAATACAGAGCCGCAGGTGTTTAAGCCTGATGCTGATCCCTGCACTACAGAGCAGTGAACCCCACACGCATGAGCACATGAAGCAGAGCCAGTGTATTTTAAGCATGTCAGGGTAAGATGAATATATCTATAATAAACGGCTGGTCACACACCAAGACGTGTTATTAATACGAGTCCAGTTTCAATGAGATGGCAGGATGTGTTAAACCTTTACATTCAATCCAATCTCATTCAAATCATTTAGATTCCATTGGATTCTATCGATTAGACTTCTTCAGCTAAATCCAATTGCAGATTTGATTCGATTTGAATCATTTTAAAGGGGTCATATGATGTTGCTTAAAAGAACATTATTTTGTGTATTTGGTGTAATGAAATGTGTTTATGTGGTTTAAGGTTAAAAAAAACACATTATTTTTCCACATACTGTATATTATTGTTTCTCCTCAATGCCCCGCCTTTCTGAAACGCGTCGATTTTTACAAAGCTCATCGTTCTGAAAGCTTTCACAACGAAACACACAGCGTCTCCACGGCATGGAGGCAGCGTCAACAACAATACTACAGCGAGAATCAAAGTTACACCTTCTTTCTT